TTCTAATTGGGTTTGTTTTAAATTACGGCCAAAAATATTTAATTATTTTTAAATTGTTTTTTAAATTTTGTATGTTCTGTTTTATTCTGGCTGTTCACCGCCCTGAATATTAAATTCCTACATTTTACAAGAAGCATCAGTTACCTGGATGAGAGACGGTCCTATTTGCTCAGAAATGCTTACCAATGACATACTTGACATATCCGTCTGTCCTGAGAATTTCTCCTCAGAGGTTGTTATAAGAGCACCCTTTGACCTTCCTCCCATGGATACCATGGATACCATGGATACACTGCCTGCTATTTCTTCTGTGGGCATAATGAGAGTATCTTTTGTTGCTTCCTCTTTGGTTATCATGGCAGCACTTCCCTCTCCTTCCTCAGTGGCCTCCATGCCACTAATTGTTCCCTCTTCCATAGCCAGTGTAGGAGGAACTCCTCCTGCTTTTTCTATGGTTATCAAGGGAGTAATAGCTGCTCCTTCCTCTGTTGCATTTTTGTCTTCTGGCTACAAAAAGTGAAACAAACTAAAAGTTAAGCTTTGTATTTTGTTCTGCTGACTTCTAGCACAATCTTATTTTCCATTGTCTATAATTGGAATCCCATTCAAATCCTCTTATGCTGCCTCAATATGGCAAAGCAATATTCCAAAGCAATATTCCTGGGAGGGAAGACCAAAGAATGCTGGAAGTAAACACACACACACATAAATATTCCCAGCAGAATAACCCAAAGGGTGAAGGACATTCCAGCTGGCTAGCTAAAAGCAGCAACAAAATAGGAAGATTCTGGAGATGGATTACCACTTTAGGGACAATGGAAAATGCATCGAGTAGTTTGATACTATATGGGAAAAGTCCTGTATTTTTCTAAAACAACTACATGGATGAATTTTTTTCAAGAAAACTGGTCATGTAATGCTGGATGACGGACACTTTAAGAGGTTGAATGGCACTTGGATGCTGACAAGGAAAAGCTAAGGAACTTTCAGAATGCTAGTGGTGTTTATAACGGCTAGATTATAACTTTCAGAATATATAGTTGTTGACATTGTTAACAGTAATATTCAAAGCTGCAAAGAAAGATTTATAGTGCGAACATAGAATGTAAGATTCATGAATATGGGAAAACTCAACACAATGAAAAATGAATCAAGAATATATTGACATCTTAGGCCTGAGCAGACTGAAATGGACAAGGACTGGATACTTTCAATCAGAAGATTGTGCTGTCTCATACACAGGACGTAAAAAACCAAGAAAGAACAGTGCTGCATTCATAGTCAGGAAGGATTAGATAGTAACAGGATACAATGCAACCAATGACCAAATAGTATATATAGGATTGACTATCAATAGTACAGAATCCAGCAGTCAAATAATATGCTACAGATTAGCACTTTATAAGGTAGCAACAAAAGGCTTAGAACAGGTATACCTACAAAGATCAGAATCATGCAGGGAATGACTTTTCTTGTGACATATGTGGAAGCACTAGTTGGATTTTGAAGAAGTAGAATAGAATAAAAAGTGTATTTATGCTTTTCAATGAAATTCTAAACTTCTTTGGCTCATTCACATTCACCCAAATCAGCACAGAATCAGCCCTGACATTGTCATACATTCAAATCTTCTTTTGCTTATAGTGGGGGGCTGGGAATTTGTTTGTTGTAAAGATGGGGAGAACAACCAGTAAGAGAAGAAATATAACAATAAATGTTATATGTTCCTTGCAATTTGTATACTGCTGGAACTGCTCAGCAGGTTTCTGTATAACACATCACAGCACAGAATCCTTCTATAAGAATGTTCTACTTGTAGCTTGAAGATGGAGGATTAAAAAATAGACTGCCACATTTGAAGTCCTGCAGGCTCACAAAAGCCAAAGTGAACAATCCAACTGAGTCTCTTTTCAACCCAGTTTTTTAAAAAAATCTTCCTACTTACCCCAACCTATCTTAGGGCCTTTGGAATGCAAATCTTTATTAACCACAAGTATTACTCCTGTTTCATGTTATGAGAAGAGCATTCCTAAATTCTGTGAAGAAGCTTCACTGATACCTAAAGTCCTCAGTTAGTTCTCCTAGAATGAACACAAGAATATATCTTCCACCCAAAACAAAGTGAGGGTGATTCTGAGAAGGTATGTGGTATGTATCCCACCTTGCTTTTCTAAAATTTATAACCATATATTTTGCTTTCTTTTTCCCCAATTTAAACATGTACTGCATGTATTGAAAACTTCTGATTTAATCTGCATTTGATTTTAATTTTCTCAGAATTTTCACACTGATAACATTACCCCTTTATCTTCTCCATCTTTTTTATTATCTTCTTTCTTATCTTCTTTATTTTCTTCTTCTGGAATTTGTCTACTCTCCGATTCATCACTTCATTTAAATGTAAAAAAAAGAAAAGAAATTATTTAATACCAATTCATACAGATGCTTAAATCATTCACATAGGAAAGAGAAATCATGCCAATGTACCAAATATTACGCACCGTTACGCACGGTCACTCATGCCCTCGTCACCTCCCGCCTGGACTATTGTAATGCTCTCTACATGGGGCTCCCCTTGAGGAGCACCCGGAGGCTCCAACTGGCGCAGAGTGTGGCCGCGCGGGTGGTAATGGGAGCGTCATGGCGCTCCCATGTGACACCTCTCCTGCGCGAGCTGCACTGGCTCCCGGTGGTCTTCCGGGTGCACTTCAAGGTTTTGGTTACCACCTTTAAAGCGCTCCATGGCTTAGGACCTGGTTATCTACGGGACCGCCTACTACCACCAATAGCCTCCCACCGGCCAGTACGCTCTCATAGAGAGGGACTCCTCCGGGTGCCGTCAGCCAAACAATGTCGGCTGGCGACCCCTAGGGGGAGAGCCTTCTCTGTGGGGGCACCTACCGTCTGGAATGAGCTCCCCCCAGAGATATGGAGGATCCCGGATCTGCGCACCTTCCGCCGCGCTGTGAAGACTCTTTTATTCCATCAAGCAGGCTTGGCCTAATTTCCTCCCTCTTTTAATATATAAATTTTAAATCTGTTCTTAAATTATTGGGGTGTTTTAATTTGTCTGGGCCAAAATGATTTAATTTGATTTTAACTGGTTTTTTAAATTTTTGTATTTATGTATTTTATTGCTTGGCTGTTCACCGCCCTGAGTCCTTCGGGAGTAGGGCGGTATACAAATCAAATAAAATATATATATATATAAAATTAATATAATAAGCATCATTTCAAACTAAGAGGTGTAAAGAACTGACTGATATGACAAATTTAACACAAGTGAAAATTGGTTAATTAGAACATACTGAAGGAATAACAATACTATATCCAAAGAAGCAGGTGAGAAAAAGGATATTGAAACTGGGAATAATAATAAACATATGGGATATAACAATATAACTTCCTCAGATTTGAGAAGAGAGAATGGAGAATATATGAACATGTTTAGGTTATAAGGAACAGGATAAGAGCTTTCTTTAAATAATAGAAGAGCCATAAATTAAAATAGGATTAAAATTTTGGGAAGAAAACTGGGGTGCTAAAACCCCAAAGAAATATGATACCAGGATAAATTATTAAAATAAACTGATTAAAATGAAAAGGAGGGCACCTATATTTCTGTAGAAGGCCAGCATGCTCATAATCCTTTCTTAATCAAGACATATTTGAAGTGAGAGAAAGAACAATTTGTCATGCTGGAATTTTTTTCATCTTGAAAATGCACAGCAATCTTATGCATTATTTATATAAAACTCATTTTCTTCACTTTCTTTCCAAAAAGAAAGAGCCAGTTTGGTCCAGGGGTTAAGGCACCAGGCTAGAAACTATGAGACTGTGAGTTCTAGAGCCACCTTAGCCATGAAAGCCAATTGGGTGACTTTGCGTCAGTCACTCTCAACTCAACCCCTTTCAGAGGGTTGTTATTGTGGGGATAATAGGAGAAAGGTAAGTTGGACATCAGCATGGTCTTGAGTTATTTTTAAAGGTATTAAAGATGGAAAGAAAGAGAGAGAGAGAGAGAGAGTGAGTGAGAGAGAGAGAGAGAGAGGAAGGAAGAAAGAAAGAAAGAAAGAAAGAAAGAAAGAAAGAAAGAAAGAAAGAAAGAAAGAAAGAAAGAAAGAAAGAAAGAAAGAAAAGATATAAATGTCCACTCCCCTACATTTCAGGTTTCCTAAATATAACAAGCATAATTTGCAGTAATATGTCTATCTAGAAGTTGAAAAATGCATGCAAAAAAATTCTGCTTAGATGACTGGCATCTGTTCCCAGATTTTATTGAAAACCGTGAAATTTGAAACCTTCATTTAGAATGACAACTGCTACTACTTCCTACATATGCCATTTCCCAATGAATAACTATATGATTTTTTTTTAGCTTATTCCTCTTTTCCAGCGGAACCCTCTACTCCCACGTAAGTCCTTTTTTTCGCACCCTCTTTATATTTAAAAAAAGGCTTTTGGTTCCCTTTTTTCCCCTTTGCTCACCCCGCACTCTGCTCCATGCTGTCTTCCGTTGCTAAGCGACGCTTATCAACAGTCCGCGGGCTTCCTTCTCCTCGCTACCCCGCCCTGACTTCTTCTCGGATGATGCCAAACTGAGAAAAGGGGGTGGGTGAAAATCTGGACAGAACCATTTCTCAACATTGCCTTCAGTGACAAAGCCGCGGCGTTATTTCTCAACCTTAGCCGTTCCCAGGTGTGTGGACTTCAACTCCCAGAATTCCACAGCCAGTACAGCTAAATGAATGAAGATTCTGGGAACTGAAGTCCACCTATCTGGAAAACGCCATAGATGGGAAGCAACTACTGTACTAGACAAAGCGTAGAGGGTGAAAAGACCGAGGTTCCGTGAAGCAAACATAGAGTTAGGAAAGGTTAGACTCATTCATGGCTAGAACAAGCAAAAGCTGTTATTGGCTTGTTGAGGGACCAAATAATTTTACGTGGCTCTAATTCGTTTTTTCCCCATGTTCAGAAAATAGAGGTAAGTCTCGCGATATTACAATAGTCGTAAGCCTCTTCAGAACCATCGTTCTCAGCGTTTCCTTGAAATTTGGCGGGAAAGAGGTTGGCGTAATGATGGAGAAGTCTTGCTTACAGTCGCCGCCGGTGAAGGTCCTGGCTGCGCAGCTGAAGCGGTGCCGCCAAGTCCCTGGCGGCTCGTGGTTATTGGACCGGGAAGAGTACGGACGTCCGGCTTTGGCCGTGTCTCTGGTCTGGATGCAGGGCAAAGTATTGGCCGTAGAGCAGGATGGTTCGACTGTGAAGTTGCTGGACGAGAGCGGCTCTTTCGTGGTTTCCGGCGTGGAGAGAGTCCCTAAGGGAAAACCTTGCCTCAGCCCTGGAAAGTATGTGATGGTGATGGGCTTGGTGCAGGGTTGCATCCCAGAACCTGTCCTTCAAGCCGTGAAGATGACGGATCTTTCGGGCAATCCCCTGCACAGGACTATGTGGGAGTTGGAAGTGGAAGATTTGCAGCGAAGCCTCATCTCGTGAATGAAGCTGGCATGTCAAAATGGGAATCCTTTGCTGCACGTTTCCCAGCAACAAAACAAATGGGATGGAAATGCCTGCATTGTTTAGAAAGTGTGGATTATTTCCCGATGGATTAGCTTGTGCAAAGTAATCTTTTATACTTGAGGCACATGGATTGTTGCCAAGATAAAACATCTATATTGAGTATATTCATTGCCCCATTGTGGAGACTGCTCTTCTTTCTTCAGGCTGGACTTCCATTAAAGGAGTACTGTGCTACAGAATTCACTACAGACATCTGACTTCAGACATTACTATTTAACATATGCAAAGACTTTTAAAATAATGATTCGATCCACCCGAAAGATTTACAATTCTAGGATAAAGCTGTTTTGATAACAATGGATAATGTTAATTTGAAGGCTTGTTTTTAATGCATAATGTAAATGCTTCAAGTCAGACTGAGAGATGGACAGCATCCCCCCAATATAGCAATAGTTCAGAGAAAAATTGGGTGATAAAGTTATACTATATCACAATAAAATCTGCATATATTACTGGAGTTTCTGGTTTAATGTTCTTGGATAGTAAATAACTAGACTTGATGACACACTTAATGGAAATAAAATATATTCCATGCATTATTTTTAAAAAATTTGCTATTGGAACCTTCAATGGTGGAATTGTCCTGAAGTTTGAAAATAGCTACAGTGCCTCAGACATTTTATATTTTTGTCTTCCAGCATGTTATTTTGATAATCTGAAAAGTGCAAAAAGCACCTGGCATTCCCAGTATAGTATAAAAATGTATTCTGCTTTGGCCAGCTATTTATCTAGTACCCTCTTGCTAGTTAGAATTACATTTAGTGTTTTAATTCAAGATAATACAGATTTGGGGGAATTTCTTGGGTTTCACTTGTTCAGAGTAATACTGAATATAAACTGAAAAACATACATTTTTGGACATTTGGCATATGCAATATTTGAAGGGTGCTTCTAGAATGTAGTTCTGTTTGAATCATTTAGATATAAATTCGCAAGACAAGATTAAATAATGGAATAGTGTTCATTCTCATATCTCAATAAGTTCGGCATGAAAACTCCTTGCTGACAATTTTTAAAGAATATCTTCCTGTTTCATATCTCAATAAAGATTCTCAGTCATCCAGGTAGAGTTGACTGGAAGGTGAGTTGTACTTCTTGTTGGTTCAAAATGTTTTGCTGCTTATCCAAGTAGCTTCTTCAGTCTGAGCAAGTTGGTTACGGGGACCCCATATATGACCCCTGGACCTGTGGCTGAATACCACTTATTTCACCTTCAGAGGTGACTTTTACAGATAGAAATATGGCTGAGTTGTGAGTTCCCCCATTGTTGCTAACCTATACATGGAAGAAGTGGAGAAGAAAGCACTCAGCTCCTTCTAGGGGATGGCACCAACCCACTGGTTCAAGTATGTGGATGACACCTGCACAAAAAAATCAAGGTCCAGGAAGTACAGGCCTTCACAGACCATATAAACACTGTCCAAATATCAAGTTCATCAGGGAAGACACCAAGGACAACAAGCTCGCATCCCTAGACATTCTGATTAGGATCTGTGGTAACCTAGAAACAGATCTACAGGAAACCCACACCCAGAGTACCTGTTGTTTTACTCCCACCATCCACTTCAACACAAGCTAGGAGTCATCAGGAAACTATTATAGGGCAGAAAACATCCCCATGTCCAGGAATGGCCAAAAGAAGGAAAGCAGACATCTAAGGACAGCTCTTAAGATCTCTGGATATCTGATTGGGCTTTTATTAAATCAGCATCTGGATCCAATGAAAGAAAGGCAGACAGAGCTGAGTAAGAGTCAGCAGGTCATTCCTTATATGGCTAGTGTATCAGAGAAGCTAAAACGTATTTAGAAAACACCACATACCTGTGTTCTTCAAACGCACAACATACTGAGACAGAGGCTTGTTTACCCTAAAGATCAGACACCAAAACATAGAGTAATGTGTATGCTGTCCAGTGCAATGAGTGTTCAGAGTTCTATATTGGAGAAACCAAGCAGCTTTTACGTAAGAGGATGGCCCAGCATAGGAAAATCAACACTATAGAACCAGAATCATCAGTATACTTCATTTAAAAGAAAAAGGACACTTTTTTTATTGAAAAGTTTTACAAAAAAAAAAGATTTCCCCCCCAATATTCCCCCCACCCTTTTTCCCTCCCCCCCACACCCCCCACCCCTTCCCCGCTTCCCCCCCTCCCCCCCAGACTTCCCAGAACAAAATACAGGGTATTTCAGTTAACAATCATAAGCTAAATTAACCTATCTATCCTTAGACTACAAAATCCCCCCCCGAAACCTTAACTCCACTATAAATAACGTAATACTTCTAAAACTTAACATTCATTCATAAGCTATTTGATATTTTCTTGTCTGATACTTATTTTGAATATAATCAATCCATCTTCTCCATTCCAATACGTATCTTTCTTGTGTATAGTCCTTCAAATACGCTGAAATTTTCGCCATTTCTGCTAAATTCGTTATTTTCAGTGTCCACTCTTCAATAGTAGGCAAAAAATCCTTCTTCCAATATTGCACTACCAACAGCCTAGCTGCTGATATTAAATTTAAAATCAGTTTAGTCTCTAATGCTGTACAGTCTGTAATTATACCTAATAAAAACAATTGCGGAGTAAATTTCAACCTTTTTTTCCAGATGTTCTGCATCACCCACCAAATTTTTATCCAAAATGCTTTGAATTTCTTACAAGTCCACCATATATGATAATAAGTTGCATCGTCACATTCACATCTCCAACATTTAGCTTGCAAATTTGGATACATACATGACAATTGTTTAGGGTCTAAATGCCATCTATAAAACATTTTATAAAAATTTTCTCTTAGGTTATGTGCTTGCGTAAATTTAACATTTCTAACCCAAATCTTTTCCCATGTTTCTATCATCACTGGTTCCTGAAAGTTTTGTGCCCATTTTATCATACAATCCTTAACCAATTCCATTTCTGAATCTATTTCCAGTAATGCATTATACAGCCTTTTAATATGCATTTGACTTTGATCTCTAATCTGTTTTACCAAATTTTCCTCATTTTGCATAACACCAATTTTTTGGTCTTTCCTCCATCTAGCTTGAAGCTGACCATACTGAAACCAAGTGTAAATTATCCCTCTTCTTTTAATACATTTAAAGGTTTCAATTGCAATTTACCCCTTTCCATAAAAAGAAGCTCTTTATAAGTAATCACCTCCTGTTTTTGTTCTATACTTATGTTTTCTATTGCATATCTGGGATTTGCCCATATAGGTATCTTGTAGTTTAACTTATATTGATACTTTTTCCAAACCCTCAGCAAGGCATTTCTAAGTATGTGACCCTTAAACACCTTATCCACTTTTTTTTCATATAACAAGTAAGCATGCCATCCATATAACAAATCATAACCTTCTATATTTAACATTCTCTCTTCAGTTAAATTAAACCAATCACTAATTTGTGATAAAACAGCTGCTTCATAGTACAATCTTAAATTAGGCATTTTAAGACCTCCTCTCTCACGTACATCCTGTATAATTTTCAGTTTCACTCTTGGTTTCTTCCCACCCCAAATAAAAGTATTAACCCCTTTCTGCCACTCCCTCAAGTTTCCATCTTTCTTAAGCACCGATATCATTTGAAACAAAAGTAAGAACCTAGGTAATACATTCATTTTTATTACTGCTATCCTTCCCAGTAGAGATAGTTGTAACTTTTTCCAATTTTCCATTTCTTTCTGCACTTTTTGACAGAGAACTTCATAATTGTTTTTAAATAATTTCGTATTTGAGGCTGCAATATATACTCCTAGATATTTAACCTTTTTAACTATTTCAAAACCCGTTATCCTCCCTAAATCTTCTCTTTGAGATATGGACATATTTTTAGTTATCATCTTTGTCTTATGTTGATTTACTTTAAATCCAGATACCTTACCATATTGACCTATTATGTCCAACATATGTGGTGCCGATTCTATAGGTTGAGATAAAGTAAAAACCAAGTCATCTGCAAACGCTCTTAATCTATAATCTTGCTGTCTAATTACAATTCCTTTTATTTTATCAGAGTCACGTATCTTGTTTAACAAAACTTCTAAAGTTAAAATAAACAGCAATGGAGACAATGGACAGCCCTGCCTTGTACCTTTCTCAATTTTAAAAGAATCTGTTAAACCTCCATTAACTATTATTTGTGCTGTTTGTTCCTGATATATTGCTCTAATTGATTGTATAAAATACTCTCCAAAATGCATTTTTTTCTATTATCTTAAACAAAAATTGCCAATTCAATCGATCAAATGCCTTCTCTGCATCCAAAAATACGAATGCAGCAGGGACCTGGTTGTTTTTTTCCCAAATATTCCAATAAATTTACAATTTGTCTAACATTATATTTCATTTGCCTCCCTTTTATAAACCCTGATTGGTCATTATGAATTGTTTGTTGCATAACTGGCATTAGTCTATTCGCTAATATCTTGGCAAAAACTTTATAGTCAGTGTTCAAAAGTGATATTGGCCTAAAATTTTCAGGTTTGATACAGTTTTGATCTTCCTTTGGGATCAGTGAAATAAAAGCCATTCTCCAAGAGGGTGGAACTCCTCCCCCTAATTGAATTTTACAAAATAAAGCTCTAAGCGGTTCTACCATTTCAGACTGTAAGTTCTTGTAATAAACAGCTGTTAATCCATCTGTTCCCAGAGCTTTACCTGTTTTTAACTGCTTAATTGCTGAAATAATCTCCTCAGAAGTTATTGACTGATTCAGTCCTTCCCTCTGTTCTAGCGTTAATTCAGGAATATTCTCTTCCTTTAGGTATCTATCTATATCTATGCCTTGTGTTGAATCACTAGCATATAGCTTTGTATAATATTCTAAAAAAGCCTTTTTGACCATATTCTGTTGATAAACTTCCTTACCTCTAAATTCTATCTTACCAATAACTCGTGATTTCTGTTTTTTCCTCAACACATAGGCCAACCACCTGCCTGGTTTATTAGCATTACAAAATGTATTGTGTTTAGCATATTGTAAGCTTGTTGCCACTTGATCAGCCATCAACATATTAAATTGCTCTTGTAGTATATTTATTGTTTCTTTTACTCTCTTATCACCTGGATTAAGTATGAGTAAGTGTTCTTTCTTTTTTATTTCCTCCTCTATCTTTTTCCGCTTCTTTTGTTGTTTTAATCTATGTTTATTATTCATATGTATTAAAGTTCACATTTTGGACAGGAAGATAGATGGCTTGAGAAAGCAATGAAGGAATCCATTTATGTCAAAGTGGAAAATTCTTCCCTTAATAAAGGTGGAGGCCTCAGACACCTGTCTCCCATTTTTTAATGCTGCTCTTGCGTCAGTCCCCAGGAAGATTAAAATGACAGGTTCGCCAGGAAGGCAACACTTAATGATCCACTTATGTAAAGGATTTAGGAGTTGGAGCATTTTACATTCCAAAAACTCGCTGCCTATTCACTTAAGGAGCCTATCCAA